AAGCGACCTGAGAGACAGCATCTTGTCAGTACCAGAAAATAAGACCCAATTTCCCGTTCCAAAACTGTGCTCTCTAGGTATCATTTCTCCTACACACTTGTTCATACGCACAGTCCTTTCACCAAGAAGTATTCTCATCTACACAACAAGCTCCCTATGGTCTACAATGCATCCTTTCGCTGAAATCATCGTGGAATTCATCTCACATTTTATCTATAAGGCGACTGTTTCGTTCCTTCAGCCCACTAATGACATTACTATTAATATGTTCATGCAGTTCATTACATTACTTATGACTGATCCAGACCTGCAAGCGATTGATGACTTCGACGAGCTACAATGCCTCATCGTAGGAGACCTTGCAGTCCACTGCTACACCCGCGAAGAAGAAACAGAGGCAAGCAGAATACTAGTAAGGGCTATACAGGATATATGCTGACCAAGTATCGCAGAATTTGGAAATCGCAATTCATCCCCCCAAGTTGGCCCGCAAGATCAAAGCAAAACTGGCCCAGATCAACGGTTTCGAGCGGCCGAAAAATTTGCTATACTGGAATATGGCTCTCGGCCGTCCCCGTATAAGCATAATTCCAACAAATGAGGTGAGCAATCTTCCGGGCTAGAAGTCCTCTCCTTTCGATCCTCAGGCGGATCTCTACAATGGGGCAAATACGGTACTGATTGATGTATTCGCTTCTCTCATTTATATAGTTGCCGCATGTCCCCACAGGCTTCCAGCCCCTTCAGCAGTTTCATCAAACCAGGCTTCCACTCATTGATAAACTGGACCTCATGGTCTGCAAGGCCTATACTTGCGGCATGAGATCCCAGGAGCAGAATGACAAAGATGCCGCCGACGTGGGCAAACTTATCGAACTTATCAATCTCGATCACAATTACACTTCTCGGCATCGTCCGACGTCTGATCAATCGAAGATTCTGAATGATTCAAATGAATATCTTGCCAAATTTGGGAAAGTCCCGGAATTTGATTGGGAAGTTGTCTTCGATAAAGCACAATCCCGCCGGGGCTTCAGTCGCTCGCTTGTGTTCTCTGTTGTTGTTGTGTCTGTTTCGTTCACTGTCTGCTGTTTAATGTGTCTGTTGGCCTTTCTTATTTAAAATCCAGAAAAAAGAAAGGTTTCTTTGTTTGTTTGATCTATCTCTATTTATTGCTTACATTAATCTACTTTTTGCCCTGCCTGTGTCTACCGTCTGCTTGTCTTTTTGCTGAGATGTTTGCTTACATTTCGGTTCTTTTGTCTCTATGTATCTATCTGTTTTGCTGTTACTAAAGAAACATGGAGGAAAGTGGTGGAGAAGCATGCTTTCGGTGTATACTATGCACACGGTGCCATACTTCTAAAGTCAAAGGGCTACAATCTAGATTTCGTAACACTTAGAAGCAGCATACAGACTATTATTGAGTGTAATGATATATGCAAAAGGAGATAGCAAGGAAATGAGCGTGTATAAGTGAAGGATAGCACTCAGAGATTGATATAGAGCGGCGTGAAGCGAGCTGATTCTCACGTGAGTAGTGCATCCGGAAACAAACCCCTAGCCTCTGCAATTGCCGAGCTCAACCCTCTAGTTTGTAGAATTTCCTTTGTCTCAGGTGGTTGAAGCTGGCCCTTTTCCTTCAGGTGAGCATAGATCATGACCTGGTACTTGCGACCTCGCCAGTCATCCACGCGGTCGCTATGACTGCGGTCAACATTTCGCCTGCAATATTCATACCATGGTTCGTCAAGGTCGCTCAATTGTAATACCTCGACAAACCTATCGCCCAGGAGATTCATCATGCGATATTTTTCCGCGTTCCAAAATATACTCGAATGCTGTCCTTCAATATAACGGACAGCCAGCAGACAAATGGCCTCTAGATATCTGGCAGGCGTAGGAACGATAACAGGGTACTTTTGCTCAGACGAGCGCTCACTAGCATCAATGTTCCAGTCCGGGAACCGTTCGTCGGAATTGAGCATATAGTATCTGTCATTAGGCTCCAGATCGTGAAGCGGCGGATCAGGGAGAGATGGGAATAGTCGGGACTTCCGGTACAAATAGACACCGCTAGTGACACCATCTTGTTCATAATTGTGGTCTGTGTGGTAGTGATGGTCGGGAGATGGAAGTTTAGCGTACTGAGGGTCAAAGACCGTACAACGAAGGCCATTCCGGCAGGGTGGTAATCCAGCCTTGTCGAGCACTTGCACGGCCTTCTCCATTTCCTCATCCTTTACTGCCCAGAGGTGGTACTGTGCAGGTTATTACATTTAGCCAGCTGGGCTGAAAGTGGTGGTACAGTGTGTGAAGGGATATAGGATATGTTTTCAAGATTACTTACTCGGACTTTGTTCGTGCTTCCGTATATCCGGGTTATCTCGGGCCCCCATAGAAAGGCAGGTACCTCGGCCTCCCTCAGCAGCCATGCCACGTATCGTCTCAATTCGGGACTCGGGTATGCAGGGAATTTGGCAGGGTTGAGGAAAATGAAAGATAAATCTGGTGGCAAAGCCGGGGCAGGAACTAGAGCTCGAGCTGTGTCTAAAACTATGGCCAAACCCGCCCTAAGAGAAGTAAGCATCGAAGCAGAAACTGGAGCAGAAGTTGGAGTAGACATAGTGCAAGGGAGTAGTAGACTGAAGTGAGACGAGATGGGACGGGTTTAGACGATGTGGGATGAGAGGCGATGAGATGGATTGAGATGAGATAAGTAAAAGTGGTTTCCTCAATCATGCCGTGGACGTAAATGGGCATCTTTATAAGTTAAGATTGAATCATCAGTTCTGTTTCTGTTGATCTTGAAGAATAACGTTTCTCGGTCTCATCCATCTGGTCACAGAGTATAGCTGATCGAGACCTTTTTGCTAATGACCTTGTGACCTGCTGGTGTCTTGAAGAAGATACCTCTTGCGAATCAAAACGAGGCGGACACAGCCGTTGAGGTACTTGTCTTCACACTGTTTTGTATCCAGCATCTTCCTTGTTGTACCTCGTGCATCTCGTGAATCCGACTATCATTGAAGGGCTCTACCCTGTCTACTCTTTCAGACAAACCATTGTGTCTCAAACTCCAATTCGCTTTCAGCAAACTCCCCATCTTCTGATTTGCTGTATCGTGGTCGAGCCTGCCTCTGAATTTCCCACAAGAGTAGGTCAATACCCCAAATGCATAATTCTTTCAATCACTAGTGTGTCTCGGAATCGTTCCACCTTCCAGCAAACTCTCTATCCTCTATATTTCTGTGCGGTGGTCGAACCCGAGGTACCTGAAACCATAGAGTCATCAGTATCTTGTGACTTTCACTACACCAAGGGAGGTACCTCTCTATCCATTCAGGCTCAAGCTATCTTCCTAACAATCTCCGATGTCGAAGAGAGCATACCACATCACCGCCATTGAAAGCATATCACGCGGTGGCATCTGAACCTTTCAGAGCATGAAGAGACAAAGAACAAGCATGCACTTTCATTTGATGACACGTCATTATGGTAGAATTCGTCTTGTCTCGACTTATATCATAAGGTACTTTCCATGTAATAGACATTATCTGAGCTCTTCTTTACTCGATCCTAGCAGATGGCGGAGGCTGCAAATGGTGAATGAGGCGATTGTTGGAATTCTCGGTCAGCTCCTTGTCTTATCTGGCAATAGCCGATGATATTCCCACGCATATTGGTGTCTCTGACTATCAACAGCTTGGGTTGACTGAAGTGAGATGGTATAGATGATTAAGAGTAGAATAAACGACTAACTATAACAGCTAATCGATATCGAGCCACCTTATATAAGCTTTTATGCCCAACATAGCTTATCCACGTGCTAACCCAATACAATAGGGAGATAACGAACAAGATCCAATCCAATTCAATCACTTTGTACAACCTGCAAGTCAGAAACCTATCAAACTGTTATAACCAATGACTCAAGTCCAAAGCCTTATCATATTGTCATACGAGAAACCCACTTCATCGTTACCTCTACGAATATGTTCTTTTCGTATCCGCTGGAAGGAACAGGACAGACAAACCTAGTGGGTCGACTCAGATAATACATTCAATGATCTATTTTCTCTTGACTAAACAAATAAGCCAAGTTAGTACGTGGTATAAATTAACTTTTAGCTTCAATTCCCGCCCTAATTCCAGTCCCACGGCGAGCTAACCCTGTTCTTTGGTGGAATGTTTCAAGAGACCCTTTCAGGCTTTGTTTGCCACTCTCTAGGGCAAATCGATTCGGCTGGAAGACAAAGGGGTTCTCTCCTTGTTTGCCAGGACCATTATTGGTGCGAACGGCTTTTGAACCAGTTTGTCTTTGAGTAAGGGTGCTAAGTTGCTCTCATTGTGCATCTTGTCTTGTAAGCATGGCTGAACCAAATGTCACTCCCTAGGTCAGAGCTTATGTCATGTGGACGGGTAGACACCGGTCCAATGTAACTGAAATTCGTCAAGTCGCTGATCAAGAGTTCATGTATTTATCAAATAACGCATTCATTGGGGCTCACACCTCGTGAGGCGGCCATCCAATAGAGAGTCAGACTAGGTACATACATTATCCAGCTGTAAGACACCCCTGAACGCAAACCCGAGACTTGTAGAGGGCGAGCGTGGGAGAAGAGAAGGGTAAGATAAGAAGCAAGTAAGAATGCAAAGGAGAATGAAAACTTCAACCAAACCAATGCGTAACGTCTCTTCAACCCTAGTGACGTGGCAGGGTGAAGAGAACCAAAGTGGCCAAGCACAAGAAATGAACGCCTTATCAAGGAGAATAAAGCACAAAATATCAAGGAAAACCAGCAAGCCTTGCTGTACAGAGGTCGGGCCAGTATGTACTGATCGGGTCAGTTTATAACTTGACGCGCTTGAAGTTTGGTCGATACTGAAACCCAGGGTCAAACGGCGAGCGTGGTGGCTAAACAGGACGGAGTATTTGCGTATGTGCAAGTCGCGAAGGTAATGTGAAGCAGAGCGGTCTAAATACGGAGATGGAAACGAGGCAAATCTTCGCCGGGATATCGTCATGCTTTTCGAATCTCGTCCAGGTGCGACAAACAGGCGACGTCGGTCATTCGAGGGGGTATCAGTCGATGGGAAGAATGAGCAGATGACGGTTTGTCGTTCAGCAGTTCGATCCTTCTAAGACCATCTGTTGGTGGCTTCCTTTTCTTTGAGCCCACCCATGCGCTCGATATCTAACGACTGGAATCGCTCCGCATCGCTGGACTGATACGGCGGAAGTTCCTCGTTACAAGGCTCCAAGCCCACTCCACCTGCGTCGGTAATCCTCACAACCACAACTCGACCCGACTTGCGTTTGCCGGATTCGTCCTCCTCCTCTGGGAATGTGATGCGAATTTCGGGAACCGGACTGGGCGGGGGACTCGACGAATTCTCAATGAGACTGCGTTTCTCATCATAAACCAGAACGGACTCTGTCTTGGCGTTCGGCGAAGCAGAGACGGTGAATCGACGGTGGTTGGGCACGCATTGCCCGTTGTGTACAGGAAGTTCGGATTGTTCGCGGTTCAGGCGCTTGCGGCGCAAGACAAGAAGAGCACCGACCAGGGCGAGACCGAGCAGAATGAGAACCAGCAGGGAAATCAGGAGATCGACCATGTAGGGAGAGAGACCATCGTTGCTTCCAGAATCACCGCGCCGAACAAGCCCCGAAATAGGGTTGAACATGATTTTGATGGTTGGATTTTTTATGTTTGATAGGTCTTCGGATGCAATCCGAATGAAAGAGTTTGGATAGTAACCGCGTGCTTTTCGATATACGCGAAGTTATTTCAAGAATTGAAGTTGTACTATTTCCTCCAATACCCGGGTCAATTCTGGATATGGCACACAGCACAGCGGCCTGTCGTCGACAGTCACTTACAATGCGTCTCAACAAGGGTCTTGTGGCGATAGAATCAGATTGTCGGATCTGCTTTCTTTCTTTTTGTTCTTGTGTAAGGACCAGTTGGAGACGGGATCGTTGGACAAAAGGAGGGAATGTATCAGGTCGGTAGGATCAAGTAGTCGAGGCGAGTGGGGGAGGTTGGCTTCAACTGGGGTGATGGAAATCGACCAGGTTGGTTATAGCGAACGAACGGACAGCAAGGTGAGCAGCTGAAAGAGTGAAGCCGACACCTGCTTAGGGAAAAGAGAACGTGACGGGGGTGGAGGAAGGAGGAAGAATGAGGGGAGGGGTTGGTATGGGGGTTGTCGCCTGGGAGAATGGAAGAAAAAGAACAAAGGGAAAGAAAGGGCAGAAAAGAAAGCGAGCGCAGGAAGGGTGAGAAAGAGGAGACGACGGAGGGAGGAGGAGAGAGGAGTGCCGGGCAGGGCAGGGAGAGAGGCAGGCCGGTGGGCGCCGGCACGACAGGAACGAGGCGCAAGGGCGCTTAGGCGCAGTCCAGACCGAGTGCAGGCAGGGATGGGTGGACAGTTGGCCTGGGGCAGAGTTTACTACCAGTACTATTAGCAGTTAGTCTAGTCAGCTGTTTACTCGTCCTCGACCAAAAGGGTACTAAACTCATCTCTGACCCTCCACTCAAGCGTGGCCCAAGACTCCGCTTTACGCCTAGTCGGCCTTGGCATGGTCGCTGGCGTGGTTGCTAAGGTTCGCCGGTAATTTCCCCATTCCGGCCATCTGGCCTATCACGCGTCGACGGTGCCTGACTTGGCCCATTCTTTGCCAACTAAACCCTTCATCATTCGTTGCCCACCCCTGTACCAAAAAGACTAACTGGTACCTACGCTAGCTAGATCGGTTTTTTCTTCTTCCTTTCTTTCTTGTCTTCCTGCACTTCCCCTCTTTTGTCTAACCTTTTTTTAGGTCATCTTTGCGCGCCCCCCTGAAAGCGAAAACCAACAAGGTCTCAGTGCCCCAAGGACCACAAGGCTAGCAGTAGCACTTACATGCAGTAGGGAGGGGTAAGACAATCTATCGACCATCTAAACTATCTACTTTGTTCTCCAGAACGGAGGACCCTTTTAGGCTTATTGTGAAAAGCCATCCGTGGCGACGCTTCTATTTTAACTTCTTCATATCTTCGTCGAGGGAATGGAATGACGTTTTGGTTCGCCAAGCAATATCTTGCCAACCTGTTTGTGATAACTTCCGAGAGTTGATTTGATGGTGGAGAAAACAGCCGATAGCCCGGGAAAACATCCAAACACGGCAAAAGCTCTGCTGGCACCAGCAAAGGACAACAACGTACCTGCCTGCTTAGCAGTCAGCCGTTGGTCTTATCACATGTGATGAGAATGTCCATGCATCCGCTGGTTCTACTGTAAGATCTTACGGGCGAACTGAGGTGTGTCTCTTTCACATGACATCAGAAACAACCTGTCATGTGCTAGTCAACTAATGCAGGGTCCATTTGTCACCAATGGTGAAACACAACGGACGGTTAGGCACCTCCGTATTCCATGCTTTGACAGCGGCCTATCCACAGTCTGGATAGAGGATACCGCTCTTTCTTGCTATGGAAACCATCAGTATGTTTAGGTATATCGTACGGTAGTAGTATGTGGCGGATGAAGAACTCGAAGTGGACTACCATAACCCCCTTGGCTTGTATCTGAGGTAACCATCGCCCATTCCCTGTTTAAAATATATAGTACACAGCGGGAATGACCATCGTATGTGGTCAAAATGTATCCCCGAGCTGACAGCCATGAATTTCACTTTAGCCTCATATGCATAAACTCAATCTATCCCAGGAAATCCGAATCCGTCTCACATGTCTCTATCAGTCGTACTATGTTCCCCACTATAAACATCACACCAAAAATATATTTCAAAAACATAGCTAACCACAATCTCATCTCCCCATACCTTCTCCCAAGTCATCCACTAAAGCCCCCAGGACTATCAATAAACCCCATCAATCAGTATCGAAAATAAAACCACACTCCCTAACAAAACCTCCCAAAACAACCCCCACAGCAACGTCCACTTATCTGTATATAGAACTGAAACAGCATACATAATATGTCTGAGATCACTCAATCAACCATGCTATTACTAAATATATAAAAAGCACTCGTTGGTCGAATTCGGCGCTCGCCACATTCCTGAAAGCGTCAGCCCACCCCACATCTCCCCACTCCCTCTCTCTTCTGCAGAATACCAAGTTCACGTCACTGTGGCAGAATCAGGTATCTGGTATTTCTGGTGATCTTGGTATGTCGATCGTTCAACTAGTCAGGGGTGGCTAATATGCAAAGGGAATATATCTATGTTGTATATTTTGTGTTGCGGCCCGGTTGCTGTGACTATTGTAGAGAGATAGATCTTGGAATGAGTCTATATTTAGGCTGGTTGGCTGATTCCATGGATATGTGGAATTTGACAGGCGGGGGAATCTCTTCTGTCAGATTGTTGCTGGGTAGGTGTTAGGGAAGTCAGGTACCGTGTAGACTGGTTGCTTCGTTTTCGTAACAGTGTATATATATCAGCTGTGGATTGGTAAAGCTAGATTTAGAAATGAGATGTTTTTACTAAGTAATAATACTATGGAGATAAGTAGTCTGTATTAGTCTTCAACATAGCGTAAAATATACTATTGGTATGTCCGAATCTTCTACCAGTTGTACATAGTATTACCCTCATCCGAGTCTTCAATATTCTCATCTACTTCAAGTGCACGAGATACTTCATTTGTTGTATAGGTTATCTCATCTCCACTTAATTTCGCCTGTCGATCGTCCCCAACAACGACGTAGGTGGATGAAGCAAGCTGCACAATCTCGATCATTCCCTTTTCTTTCTTTTCCCTTGCTAGTATATACTACTAGGTCCTCCGGCAATTTTCGCAACATATCATCTGACGATATCATGATATTACTGACCCATGAGCAAAGTCTTGAGTGTATATATATATCATTGCCAGAACAACAGTGAGGAAAACTCGTGTAGCAGGGCCAAACGGCAAGATCATCTATCAAAGATCTAGGGAAAAGTCTCGAGTCTACTTCTGGTATGATTAGCTCGTTCTTTATAGTAAATTGTGTAGAAATGTATGTCTAAGATCGACATTATGTCTATGAACACCACGAATCCCAGTCGAAGAGATCAAAACCATGTCTTAGTATAAATACGAACTATAAGCTATGATGCATCCTAGACCTGCAGTGTATTTACTACTAGACTTCGATATTGGATATAACAATTCACTCGTACAGCCTCTATCGTATCTTCGGCTCCATTGCAGTTGTGACTGACTACTATTGACCTGGAAGAACGCAAGAAGGTTGTATAATCTCAGCTGGTTAAGATCGCCATATCAAATGTTCTAGTAGGGTATACTATTTGTATGATGTGGAGATGTTCAACTCGTGAGTATTTCTGTCAAATTTCGTATATAAATAACGGCTATAGATTGCTTGTCTCAAGGTTGGATTTGAGTGTGTCCTGTCAGGAGGACATTTTTAGATCGAGAGTGATCTGATGTTGACAAAGCATTGTTGTAATTGCACATTCTCACTCAAAACTAATTGAGTGCCATATCTAGTCTGCAGCACATTGGTCCACTTGTGGTCACTTGTAAGTTGGAGGCTTTGGGGAAACTTGAGTGTACAATGTATGATATTAAGTGTCTGGCAAGGTGGAAGTGATGGCAGAGAACAGACATGACTTTTCCATTCCCAAATAACATATCTCATTGATGGATACATAAGAAGTTTGGTCGGTGTATTCTTCGAATGTCTCTGGTTGAATTCACGGATGCCGATTGGGTAGGAACGAGTCTCTTTGGGATTGCGCAGAAAGAACTCATCTTTGCTACTGGCATATTTGATAGACCAGACACTGAAATTGTATTTACCAAATCAATACGGGACTTGCATGGTTTGAGGAAGAGATTGTCTGGCCTTCTTTGACTTCCCTAGATGTAAGGCGGCTGCCCGAAGCCTCTTCGAGGAAACGTCAGTGCTTTCAGAAGCCACTGGATATCGACGGAGATGATGACTGTGTTTGGGTATGACTTCTAAATGTTGACAATTTCTTGCTGAAAACTTCTGCGTTTCAAATAAGCCTTCATACCATAGCTTAACAGCCTGTGATATAGCCCCGAGCAACGTATCTCGGAATAATAAGTATCAATATATTGTCGCTAGGTGTGCATTGCCGATACTAACATGTGTGTATGGCGGACCTAGTCGCGAACCCGGCTGTAATTGAAGCGTCGATGGTATTCCTCCCTAGGCTCTCAAAGGACTACGATCGGGGTGTGTCTATAACGGTGACGAGCTGTACCTGATAAACAGATAGATAAATACGGCAGTCTACCGGTGAGGAAGTGTGCCCATTATAGGTAGTATTAAAGGCGCTCTGTTGCCGAATAAAAGTCAGCATTATCGTAAGTAGAATATGGGTCAACTCGACACTGGATGGATGACAATGTACAATCAATGAAAGGAAACGTGATGGCCGTCAGAACTAATTTTTTGTTCTGCCAGGATAAATCTGCGTTCTGAGTTTCTCAGATAGTTGGCACCCCTTGACATGAAAGCGCATGTCATCTTTGCGGGTTCGCAAGCGTTGTTAAAAGGCTGCCGCGTGTGGCTTTGTCCCAAATCGGCCGCAAGTCAGTGGTGGCTAGCGTTAACAACGCCGCCCCCATTATGGCTCACTCCTAGCAGTTGATTCATGCAGAGGTGGGTGTAGTCTGACTCGTTAAATTTATACCGGTTCATTATTGCAGTCTACATGGAAACGATGTTGTTTGGAGTTATCTTGGGCAAACCAGCAATCATGACTGCATTAATGTAGAACTGTTAGCATATGTGGCAGGAGAAACCAACAACTCGACTTCAACTGGTGCAAAAGTGCTGACATATTTGGGGTTGT